GGCCATTTTAAGGCCGAAAATGCATCAAAATTGCACATTTTCACCATTCCGGACCCGGATCTCAGTTATGCATGGACGGATTTTGTTCAAATTCGGTACATACATTAAACATAATAGGACCTTGATGCACGTCATTTTTTTTTGGATCTAGTTCGAAATGGCCGACTGGCGGCCATTTTGTTTTAAAGAATTCAGTTCTGGATCCGTATCCGAGACATGTCTGGATTGATCAAGTTCAAACTTTACACACACATGGTACATCATGTCACAAATAGATATGTGCATTTGTTTCATGATCCGCTTAACAATAGCTGAATGATGGCCATTTTAAGGCCGAAAATGCATCAAAATCACGTATTTTCATAATTCCGGAACCGGATCTCAGTCATGCATGGATGGATTTCTTTCAGATTTAGTACAATCTGTTGTACATATGCAGGTGCATTTCGATCATGATCTGCTTTGAATGTATATGTCACTCAAATATGAACGGAACGGGGACGTGTCATTGACAATGACTTGTGTAATGATATCTTTAATTCTGTAATGATATCTTCAATTCTCTAATTTTGGTGAACATTTTTGTCATTTTTGGTAAAAAGTGATATTTTCAACTTCTTGTTAAAAACCGCAAGTCCAATTGCTTTGATATTACATATATAGGTACTACATGTGGACCTCTCTCAGATTTGTTCATTTTGTAATGATATCTTTAATTTTCTAATTTTGGTGAATATTTTTGTCATTTTTGGTAAAAAGTGATATTTTCAACTTCTTGTTAAAAACCGCAAGTCCAATTGCTTTGATATTACATATATAGGTACTACATGTGGAACTCTCTAAGATTTGTTCATTTTGTAATGATATCTTTAATTCTCTAATTTTGGTGAATATTTTTGTCATTTTTAGTAAAAAGTGATATTTTTGACTTCTTGTTAAAAACCACAAGTCCAATTGCTTTGATATTACATATATAGGTACTACATGTGGACCTCTCTCAGATTTGTTCATTTTGTAATGATATCTTTAATTTTCTAATTTTGGTGAACATTTTTGGTAAAAAGTGATATTTTCAACTTCTTGTTAAAAACCGCAAGTCCAATTGCTTTGATATTACATATATAGGTACTACATGTGGACCTCTCTCAGATTTGTTCATTTTGTAATGATATCTTTAATTTTCTAATTTTGGTGAATATTTTTGTCATTTTTGGTAAAAAGTGATATTTTCAACTTCTTGTTAAAAACCGCAAGTCCAATTGCTTTGATATTACATATATAGGTACTACATGTGGAACTCTCTAAGATTTGTTCATTTTGTA